TACTCTACTCTACTCTACTCTACTCTACTGTACTCTACTCTACTCTACTCTACTCTACTCTACTCTACTCTACTCTACGCTACTCTACTCTACGCTACGCTACTCTACACTACTCTACTCTACTATAGTCTACTAATAAACCTCCCAAATGCCTCTTACATTTTTATTGAAACTAAACTGGAAACTCCAGCTGGGCGGGGAGGGGGGGGGGGGTGAACCCCCGACCCCCAGGATTAATCACAGCAACTTTTAACCTGGGCAACTGAAAAAATGGCCTGGGCTTGTAATTTTGAAAGTTAGGATCCCGAAGAGCTCCTCAAAGAATTTCTTTGGCAAGGGCTGGGTTGGTAGCCCTGAGACTTGGCTGGGGATGGAGTACTCCTTACAATGTGGGTAGTAATATCTTGAATAACTCAGAGATATATTCTTTCCTCTAAATCTTACCAACAGGTGAGGTCAACCAGCATGCACCATTAGTAGCATCTCAACATGTTGAGGATAATTTACCACCTCAAGTACATGTATATCAAACAGGCCAGCCTACTTTGCGGAATATTGCTGGTTTTCAGCAGACTACAGATAGTTTACCAAGCACTGCAAAATATGGAGAAAGCAGTTTGGGATCACGCTTGCCATTCTTGCCGCAAGACAAACCATTCAGGCAGGCAAGTTCTGGAGTGAGCTCATCATATACATATGCAGGTTCCACCCCTAATTCAGAGGAACTGTATAAGCCTCGTACAACTGAGCAGGATTCTGCTTCAAGGTACCAGTCTCAATACAGTGTCCCATTTGGTGAACAAGAACAGTCTTCTCCAAAAGATCAGTCTTCATCAAATCAATCTTTACCAAATAGCTTCAGCACGGCAAACAGTGTGCAACATGTGCATGAAAAGATTGACCAACTACACTTGACAGATCATCTGCAGTCGTCACCAAACAGTTTTGGTGTGGAGAACACACACCGTGAAGAGGTACTTGTAGATGATCAAATTAAGCCACAAGATCTACCACAGTCTTCATCAAATGGTATGAGCATACCAACGACAACCAGTCAAGGAACCTCTAGAGACTCAGGCCAGAACAACGTCCAAAATGGTGCACTGGATAATACAGGTCCAACTCGTAGAGGCAGGTCATTGACAGATGGTGCAATTGCAGACACAAGGTCTGATCGACATCAAAGAATTTCTCAACCGTCTGCCGAAAAAGTTCCAGTAGAAAGAGTCTTGTCAAATGATTATCATGATGTAGCTGCCCAACACTTAATAAATAAATGTCCCGTAGAGATGAACTATGACTCTATTTCGAAATACTTCAACAGTGGTGGAAAAAACCTGGGACAAGGAGGCTTTGGAATTGTGTATGAAGGTAAAATTGTGAAATACATACATGCGCATGTATCTGCAAATAACGCTACAAAAGCTGTGAGAAAAGTAGCCTGAAAAGCTGTGAGGTTCCCCTGGAGATTTAGCAAATTAGTATCAAAAGTATTTAATGTTCAATCAAAACTATCACCAAATTCAGGAATCTGATTGGCTATTAACAGGCCCGATTTTAGCCCAAATAGGACAGTGTACACCTCATAGATGTACGTACTTGAATAGATTCCTTTTCCAGTACATGTTGGTCAATACAAACTCTATTGTTACTGCAAGTTTGAATTTTTATCAATACTTAACTGATGGTTATGGTTATCAAATTTTGTTACAGTTTTCATTAACTGGTAACATGACTATATGTCATCCAATTCTGCATAAATCATACTGATCATGATTGAACAAGTATGATTAAGGCAGCTATGTGCTACTTGTCATCTGATTTTGTTAATGACTGGTATGATTACTGACTGAATTGGACTCCACTCGGTCCTATTGCCATAATAGTTTTAAACTTACATGAACCTTGCTGCATTTTTTCTCATAAATTTTCATATAATGCGTAACGCAATATACTTAGTTAACTCTTCCCAGTAGACTGCAACATTCACAATTTTTTTTGCTGTCTTCAGAGTTAAATGGTTTTGATCCCATAAGTTTGTTTCAAACCAATCACCTGGTACATTTGAAACAAACTGATTGGTTTGAAACAAACTGGCATCAAAAAGGTTACTCTGAAAGTGGGAAAAAAATTGTGGGTGTTGTGGTCCACTGGGAAGAGTAGTAATGGCTGTTTAATAACCTCAATGCACAGGAAACCACACATTTCATGGTCAGAGTGTTGTTGTCAAAGAAGAGTACACTTCTCATCTTGGACAAGCTTTCAGTGCAGCACAATTGCAGAGGGTAATCTACATGTAGTTCTTAAGTGATTAAAATTAATTGAAACATGTAGCTCATTTCTTCTTTACCTTGGATACAGGATATTATATATATTTGACAATCAAGCCTGTAGGCTGCAGACTGAGATGATAAGTTATTGTGATTTATAGGTTTTAAATTACACATGGTCTTCATTGTAAGATCTGGACAAATTGGTACTAGAGAATTCTTCAATTCTTCAAATCTTCAATTCGTTCAAAGCTTGTCTATGTATGATTAAGTTCTCACTGAGTTTTTGTTTGCTCAAAATGTACTTTTGATTGTATTCTTTTATTAATGATATTTCTAAATTTATTCTTCAATTCCTCAAATTTAATCAAAGCTGGTTTGTTTGCAGGAGAAACGTGTTGGTTACATCAAACATCCTCATCTGATGCCACTTTATGCATTTTGTGAGGAGAAAGGGTAACTAAAGTCTCCCTAAATCAGTTCATTTGTATAATGTTTTTAAAAGTACGTAACAGGTTCATGTACGTGTTTGGAATAATGGCTTCATGGTTGGCGGTGAAGATGACGGGTAAATATTACTGGTAAGCTTAGTTCATATCTGATGTCAGGCCGGTAAAATTTGTGGCTTATTTTTGGGCAATGAAGGGATACGTGATTTACTCACCTAGGACACAGCCTGAGGTGAATAAATCACATATGAACTGTAGAGTGCAGTGGAGTGGAGTGGAGTGGAGTGGTGTGGCATGGCGTCAGATTTGGTCAGATTTGTGTTAGGATGCATACATGTATGTGCAATTAAAACTTAAGTTCAGGTGATAAAATAACCTTAGTTAGAAAAGTTGATGTCTCCTTTCAGAAAACCTCGTTGTCTGATGTATCCAAAAATGCACAGTGATTTACACAAGGCGTTGCGCAGTGATTTGAAGGGACAGCAAAAGCTACCTTGGGAGAACAGAGTAAGGATTGCGCTTCACACTGCAAGGGCACTGCAGTATTTACATACAGAAGTCACAAATGAGAGAAATGTCAGGTGTGTCTGACGATGGATTTTGATCACAATTATTTATTATTGATCTCTTTCCTAGTACTTTGTCAGCATATATTAGTGGTCAGGATGTAGTGTAATTAATGTTTATGGAGGCATCAATAACCTTGATCAGAAAGCATACAAAATTAAAGCACATGTAGTCAGGTTTCTCCGATTTGTCCAGAATGCAGATCAAATGTAACTTAATGGCAAGTGGCCATGATGACCCTCAGATCTGAGGTCAGAAAATAAATTTTCTGCTTTGTAGCTCAGCAGATTCATTGTGGCCATAATTGGTTGTCAGAAAACAAACGTTTTGTGTTGTGTAATGGTCAAAAGGCCATGTTTTGTGGTCAGAATGGTTAATTCACCTTTTTCAGTTGTGAAAACAAGATGTAAATTCGAGCAATGTAACAAATACAAAACATTTGGTGACGCGCTTCCTATCTTTTAGGGTCGCTGGTCAAATAGTGGTACTATGATCAAATTTTTCCCCCTTAATTTTTTAGGTGTATCACATAGAATTCAGTGAAAGAATAAAAACGCCACTTACTATTCCGGAGATATTTAAGTTTGAAAAATGTGTAAAATATGCAAAGGAGATGACTGATGACATCATACACTCAACCCAATTTTATATCAATTATATAAATAGAGCTATCTTGGTCAATTTGCAGCGCAGACCATTGAAAATTGGTAGGCTAATAATTTTACAGGAAACAGACCTATGGCTATTAAAAATTCTGTTCCCATGGCAACTCACTCTTTTCCAGTCCCCACCCACTTGATTTCAATATGTTAGTGATTTTCAGCTCGCAAAACATTAAACGAGGCNAACTGTTAAGCTCATATTGTGGAGCACATTTAGTAGAATCTTACTGCAAAGAATCAAACATTTCTGACACAAATTGGCTGAGATATCTTTTTCATCATATTTGATCAAAATATGGTTGAGTGTATGACATCATCACTTCGCTAATTTGCATATTTTAAAAACTTGAATATCTCTGGAACGAAAAGAGATATTTGATTATAGTAAACAGCATTTTTCTTTTCACACAGGCTACTTGTTTATGTTTTAAAATGGATGCGAAAGGAAAGATGCGATTTTCGTCATAGTACCACGTTAAGAAATATTTGTTACGAGTGTTAGCGATCCAAAATTAAATTTTAAGTGTCGCCAAAAGTTCAAATGCCTTTCCTGGAAAATATTTTGTCCAGTGCAAGTTAATACTTAATTAATTTAAAACATTTTTACTGCAGGCTTCAACGTCACATGCGGATCATTATCTTCTGTCACTCGATCAAACTTAGTTTCGAATGCAACCAAAGAAGACCAAACATGCAAAGTGCATGTGTGAACTTTTTATTCATTATTTAGCTATGCTGAAAGCACTTTAATTAAAAGGAAAGTAAATATAATTTAAAAAAAATTTCCCAAAGTATTATGTGTCTAAATCTACTTCTTTCCAGTAAATATATTTGTTGTGTGAATGTACCCCCCCCCTCCCACTCCCAGCTTATAAGCTCATACCTCTGGCTATAAACCCCCCTCTAGCTTTTCTTGTTTTGAATTAATTCTATTATGATGTTTTATATAAAGCTTAATTCAAAACCACTAAATGAAAATCTATTTCCATCAGCACAGCTATCACTCGTTTCAAAGTGGTTTTATATTATTCCGGTTATAAGACCCCTCAGTTATATGTCCTTCTGTTTATAAGCCCATCTAAGAGCCCTTACGAAGTTGTATAAGCCCAGGGATTCTATATACGTATTACATATGTATAAGCAGCAATTTACCGTATGAGAGCTGTCAAACTCTTATTGCAGCCTTTTGCATGGAAAAAATGTACTGATTTCAGAACGTAGGGTTTTGTTATGCACACCTCATGATATTTGATTTTCTAGATGGCCACTTATTCAAGTGCTGCTATATATGTTGAAATCTGTTCTAAATAAGCTTTATTTGAAAATTAACATGTAGTATGTAATTTAAGTTGTTGCCCATGTGGCATATTTTAAAATTTACACTGACATTGACTCTCTCAATTTAAATATTTTGTAGACAGGAAATTGTACATATGGATGTAAAGCCAGGAAATATATTTCTGGATGAAGACTTCAATGCACGTCTGGGAGACCCTGGAATGGCGCAAGAGTTACCCATGGAATACTCTTATGCCTCTATTTCGCAGCCTCGTGGAACAGATGGGTACATGGATGAATACCTTCAAGACAGACACCTAAAGCCTATAAATGATGTTTTCTCCTTTGGAGTAGGTAGGCACCACACAATTATATTGTAAGAAAAAGTGTTTCTGCAGTCAGCTCTTACAAGTAGTACATTTCCTGGTGGTTGTTCAATACCTCTATAGCAGTGCTCTATCAACTGAGCTATACATGTATATCTTTCATTTATTTTCAAACTGCAGCAAATACCGTCCAAATAACAGTACAAATATGCAGCGATATTGTACAGTTATTTGTACAGTAGAAAACCTGTTTGCCATACCGGTTGGTGCATGCATGCAAAACTGTCACACTCTCCCTCTTTCATTGATAAATTTATTGACTACAGCAGTTGGATAATAAATCTCTTATTAAATGTTTTGGTATGTCATATTGCTTTGTATATTTACTCGTTGTTTGTATTTTGACTCGTAAAAATATACAGCGATACTATACACCAAAACATCTAATAACTTAAGATATATATTTACTTTTATCGTCACCATCTACAGGAATATTACGATTCACTTGGTGACCAGCTCCAAGTTGGCTTGATAGCTCAGTTGGCAGAGCACTGCACTGATATTGCAGAGGTCATGGGTTTGAATCCTGTTCAAGCCTGAATTTTCCTCTGGAACTGTGATGATCAGTCATGTCTTCAAAACCTAGCTTAAAATGAAAATCTGGCTAGATAGGTTTTGGTTTGTGAATCCAACATTAATTTTCTGTACCCAAATATAGTTTTGGACTGAAGCTGCCATATTTTTATAAACAGCTATGATTCATAATAAGCTAATAGATGTTTTTACCTACAGTCAGTGTTCCATTGTAACAGCTAACTTATGATGGTGGTTGTAGGACTAAACTTAAAAGGCTGTGATTTGTTTTTGGTGGAGGAAACTTAAGGTTCACTTTATAGAGATCCACAGAGATGCTACATGTACATGTATTACATAATTATTATATAATTAACTGTTAATTGATCAATTTATTATATAGTTAGAATTAGATATTAATACCCCAGTAAACCTTTCTATTTTCAGTGTTGTTACAACTTCTTACTCAGAGAAGAGCTATTGAAAAAAGGCCATCAAACAAGAATGTGCCTTTATGTCGTATTTTGAAGAAAGAAGGAGTGTTGTCAGACCCAGAAAGGTTAATGGAAAAGGCACAGCAGGTGAGGAGTGTCTTAAGAGACTTAAAGGTGTTATTAAACACAACTTTGAATGTTTGGAATAGGATAGAAATGTCGTTGTTTTAGGGTAAAAAGTTAAACAGCTTTTCAGTGGTCTTCTTTTGAACCCTTCAATACTAGGGGAGCATTCATGTAAGTATAGACTGTAAACGAAACCTCAGAGTCCATCTCTGCCCATGATCACAGTGCTTTTTAAACTGTTGGCCCCAGGATGTTAATTTTAGTTTTGGGATTGTTTGTTTTAATCATTGTACTGACATAGGATGCGTGGCCTGTCAGTGGAGATGACAAGAGGTACACCAAGGAATTTGCTGCCATTGCGATAGAGTGTCTTAAACGACCTGATGAGAGAGCTAAACTGTCAGATGTTTGTCAGAGGTTAGAGGTAATGAAAACTTGGTAGGTTATACTGCATACTATTGGTGATGTAACTGTTTTCTTGCAGGAGGCAAATCTGATTCCTAATGTCTGCTTGAGTCTACAATCATGGACAAAAGTGTTGACACATTTGAGCAAAACAAATGCTTTCTATCAGCATCCTTCCATAATTTCAAAAAACATCTTTTTTGTCGATAGCCAAATCCCCCTCTCCCCCTTTTCAGTGTTGAGATACGCTCTGTGGACACTACCATGTGGTTACAACATTGAAAAGGAGAGAGGGGGTCGAAATGTGAAATTGGAGATTGAAAAACACACCTGTTCAACAAAACAGGTCTTTTTCAGGAAGTGTCTCAACTGCTTTTGTCGATGATTGTAGCTTGAAGAAGCAGAATTTACATCCACTTTTTACTTATACTGCATGTAGTCTAGTTATTTTGATACAATTTTTCTGATCTTTTATCACAGAGGAATGGGACAATAACAACAACAAAAAACAACAATAACAAACAAACAAAGAAAAACAACAACAAAGTGCCTCAGCTCATCTGTCACTAGCTATGATCCTAGTGTACCAAAAAAGTATGATTGTAAGGTAGTTACTGCAGCACTGTGGCCAAGAATGTGGCAATATCAGATTAGTGACTAGCTTGATATTGCAGGAAATCAGAATGGTACAATTAAGGGCTTATTGGTATTCGGGTACAGTAAAAATTGTAGCTGTTAAGTTAGTGAAATCAATAATTACCATGTTACTTTGCTTAGAAAATATTGGAGAGTAAAGGAATCAGTAAAGCTTCAAAGCCGAAAGAAGGAGATCGTTGTGTGTCTTGTCTACTCAACTTTCCAGGTAACTCTTGTTGATTAGTTATTATATTAATAATAAGTAGTTTAAAAACACTGTTAGGCTATTTCCACTGTGTTAAAACAGAGATTATTTATTTCCCCTCCCAAGGAAAGCTTTTTTGTTTCAAACACTGGATCTGGAGTTGTTTAACTCTGACCCCTTTTAAGAAAGTCCTGCATGGCTTCATATTTTCCTTTAAAAACTTGAAAGTAACCTCCAATTTCCCATTCAAAATTTCCCAAGGTAGATATAAGGATCTTTCCTGGAAACCTATAAATTATTTTAAGTTGTCTTTACATTCTGGTAGTGGTGAATACAATGTAGTACATCAAGTGAAGTTATCAAAATGTTGTAGAAAATAGTGGTTCATTACAGGTTGATGCTTGACTCTGTTTTCTGTGGCCCCAGTAGCCTGCGAACAGGCTCTTGGCAAGGGTGGAAAAAATTCAACGAGTGCAGTGAGCTGACGAGCAAGAAAAAAAGAATTCAGCAAGTGAAGCAAGTGGGTCAGGGCGGGGGAACCTGTAAGACATTCTATTGATGTTGGTGGAAATCCCATGATACCAGAATCTGGTATTATGAGCTGATTGGTTAATTCGCTGATTGTTGACAGCTTTGACAGATCTTGAAAACAGCTTGTAAATTTGCATAATGTTTGTCAAGAGTGAGAATGATGGCCTCTTTGTGCAATGCACAGTTTCAAGGCAGCTTTGAGAAATTCATTACAACATTTTATCCATATCTCTGGTTTGAAACTTGACCAAAACTATGGCTGGAATCTGTGGCTCAGAATTGAAGCAATGTTTTTGGCATTCTACTGACTGGTTTCGAGAAGAGTTTAATTTTCCAGTTGCTACTGCATCTACTGAGGCTTATGAAAAACATCAATTTTGACAGGTCTAATTATCTTCTTGACTGATTTGTAACAGGCTAATCACCAAGGGCAGATTGGCACATCAACAGCAATGTCTATGGGCTCCCCTGCCCTACTTGCTTGGCTCGCCAAATTTTTTTCCGCCCTTACCTGGAGCCTGTTTACATGCTCTGGCCTCAACCAGTGCAAGTATTTTGACACCCCTGTTCCCTTAAATAGGATGGCAGCAGCTGGTTACCAACAGGTTGCTTGCAAGCAGCCATTTTTTTTTTTCTGGGGTGGTAAGAGGCTCTGTCAGTCAAAGTGTTTGACCCTAGCCAGGGCTTGAATCTGAACCTCTTGATCCAAGTTTCAGTTGGTCACCAAGCCATAAAAAATACAGCCAATCTAAAGACAGGAAAGCCATTGTATCTTTTGACGGTATTACATCCAACCTTCCCATCTTGCCCCACACAGTATACCATGGCATATCCCACTTGTCACCTGTATTGTTTTTTTCTTTTTTTTTCACATTTTAAGAGCGGATTTCTCTAACGGTCACCTATACCTATGCAGGATGGAAAAATTTGATTTTCTGAAACTTTGTCAGGAAGAAGGTTTCAACTAACTTATTTCAAAACTTTACCTTTGAGATTGTTTGGATTTTTATTTTCTTGTGGAGACGGCCTTACATATTTTGCCCACTTGAGCGCTAGAAAGCCAAAATAATAAGCATGGCTGGAAAAGCTAACCCATAGTACTAAAATATCATCTTTTAGCAGTTAGTTAGTGTGGTCAGATCCACATGAAATTTAAACCTGAATTGTTAGCAAATTTTTAAAATTATACGCTTCAATGATGTTGCATCACGTCAAAATTTAGGTCAATTTCGTGGACTTGAAAGTTAATCTGGTTCATGAAGTTACCTGCCCAAACTATTTTTCTGGTTAAAAGTATCCCTTAAGCTAAGGTTTTATCACAAATCTAGCTTGGGTAAATAAAACCAACAAAATTGAGAGCGTCTCGAAGACTAGGCACTTGAGCTAATCGCCTGACATTTTGACAGAAATGTTTGCCTGTAGGTCTAGTCTCCAGTAAAATAGTCTTTGGGTGCATTGTTGGTCGTTCGCCAACCGCCAAATGCATGATCTCTTATTGAAAATAAACATCTGCTTAAAATGCTCGTTTCTAGCCTGAAACATATTTTCAATTACAGTAACTGATCTTAGAGACCTAGAGACTATTTTACTGGAGGTTAGACCCACAGGCAAACATTTCTGGGTCAATGTTGGAGGTAGTGATCGTGGTGTGAAAGGTCAAAATGTCAGGTGATTAGTTCAAGTGCCTAGTCTTCGAGACGCTCTCAATTTTTTTGGTTTTATTTACCCAAGGTAGATTTGTGATAAAACCTTAGCTCAAGGGATACTTTTAACCAGAAAAATAGTTTGGGCAGGCAAATTCATGTACCAGATTGACTTTCTGGCCGTTGAAATTGACCTAAATTTTGACGTGATGTAACATCATCGAAGCGTATAATTTTAAAAATTTGCTAACAATTCAGGTTTAAAGTTCATGTGGATCTGACAACGCTAAATAACTGCTAAAAGATGATATTTTAGTACTATGGGTTAGCTTTTCCAGCCACGCTTATTATTTTGGCTTGCTAGTGCTCGTAAAAAGTGTAATTTTGAGGTTGAGTTTTCACTGTTTTGGCGCAAAATACGTAAGGCCGTCTCCACAAGAAAATAAAAATCCAAACAACCTCAAAGGTACAGTTTGAAATAAGTTAGTGAAAGCCTTCTTCCTGACAAAGTTTCAGAAAGTCGAATTTTTCTCTCCTGCATAGGTATGGGTGACCGTTATAGCAAGCTGCTCTTAATTTCCATACAATGGCTCACATCAATGTGTAAAAAAAGGGTAAGAATTAATAAATGGCTATTAAGTTTACATCAGTAGCTTACGTTATACTACAAGTGACAAAGAAGAAAACTACACAAGAAAAAAGACAACAAGAACAAAGGACACAAAAACTTTTTTTCTAGGTATACACATGAGCCTTGTGTGTAGAAGATACAAGTGACTCATGGGATATTCCATGATATACCATTCGAAAGCATTGCATAACTAAGTGTACATTTATTTAATACATGCCACATGTTGAGGACAATTCAAACTTAGGCCTAATTGGTGTTTTTTTACATGGTATATTTTAGCAAAGTACTTGGGAGTGAAGTCCCATGGCTGTAACAGTGACGTTACTCAGAAATGCAATTATTTTTGCGTGACATGTTTATCGCAAGTGCGACGTAACCCTCTGGAATGTCCATCTCATGGGCCAGCAGAGCCTCCTATAGGTAAATATTTGGTGAACATCAATGCAGTATAAACGCCAATTCCAAATCATTGGTGACCAGAGCATGTTCAGTGATAACATGAAGTCTTGGCCTGGAATTGCAAATGGTTGAGAGTCTCACAACCAGAGTCTCACAGTCAGTGGAATTTGGATTCTTTACCATATAATGCAGTGGTTCTAGCTAGGAGCTTATTTAAGGGTTATTATTCAGCAGCTATTGATTGTACTTGTAGCTTATTTTGTGCAGTGTACAGTACCTGTCCAGTGTAAGTTGACAGTCACTTGAAAACTGTGAGTATCGAGTTTCGAGTCCTGTTGTTCAAGTTTTGAGGTGATTTGTTTGAGTGTGAATCAAAGAAACAATGATACAAAGAACTTATATCTACTTATCTATTGTTCGTTGGCATGTACATGTATTTGAAACAGGATTTGTCTTTGTCAATTGTAGGAGGATCTGATGTGTATGCTGTTTTGGTATGTGGGAATGACCCTTCCTCACCAAAGTCTGCTGCAATCTTTAACAAAGATTTACTTGGCTTTAAAAGTGTTCTGACAGACAATCGCATTGTTGGAGTAAGGTAGACCTTATCAGAGACCTTTGATATCATACTGTACATTAGTACATATATGTTTAGATTGGATCATTTTAATTGGTAAAAATGTGGTGGCTGTGAGAGACTGTTGTCATTGTTGGCATGGTGGATGTACAAAGTCATGAGGGTTACAATGCAGTCACTGTTCATCAAGGGTAATGCTGATGTCTATGTCCCAGTCTACATGTAACAACCTAAGGCTGGTGATTTTATTTGGTGGCAGCCAGCTGACATCTTTGCCAATTCAAGTCTGTTGGTTCCCAACCTGCCTTGAGGGTTTGTGTGGTTGCTTCAGTTTACCTCCCTCCTTACTCAAATTTTATTGGACGGTGCATAATTAGAATGGTAGCCACTGGAGGAATACAGCTGAATGTGCCCTCCTTTTTTAAATATTGCTATTTACAACAGTTTATTAGATACCTTTTAAATGGTTGATTGATTGGTCAATTAATTATCAACTTAATTTTATTTAGTGACTTAAGTGACTATTAGTCTGTACTATATAGCCAGATGTGTCGTTTGCATTGTTTTTGAAGTCTTCCAAAGATTTAATTTTGGATATTCCTAATGACATGGACATCTCTATGCTAGAGGCCTTAATCACTTGTTTTTATCGTAGGAATGATCATGTGTTCAGTATTACGCCATCATCATCATGTGGCATGTCACAAGCACAACAGGTCAGACAAGCACTCCAGGAGTTAACACAAAGGCTGCAAGGAAAAAAAGATGTGTTTTTGTACTTTTATTTTTCTGGCCACAGTGATCAGAATGGCAACTTGTTATGTTGGTGTTCATCAGAGGATGATGTTCTTACAGAGGCCGAGCTGAAAGAGGACCTCAAACATCTTAATGTCAATGAATTTTTGATTATTCTGGATTGCTGCTATGCAGATGGTAAGATTGCCTCTGAGCTTATTAAGGATGATAATTTTCTTGTCCACAAGTCCCCTGCACCACTGGAATCCACGCAGTACCCCCTAGAATCTCTGTGCAACAATCTTCAGGAGACTGTAAGTCATGAAGATTCTGTGGAGCCAGTTTCAGATGTGTCAGAAGAATTACCCCAGACTGGCTTTGATACATTGGATGGAAATGTGTTCACCAAGGCTCCACTAGGAAGGTTCACAATTCGCCAGTGGTCCTCTTCCTTAAGTCATGAAGAGTCCTATGCAAAGGCCAAAGGCAGTTTTTTAACACAATTCATCATTTGCGGGTTACGTGGTGCACACGATTGTCAGCTCTCAAACTGCTCCTCTTGTGATAGATTCAAAGCTAAGGCCAAGTCTTTGGGTTACATATCTGCTGCCAATTTAGAAGATTTTGTCTCCAATCATGTGGAGAATGCTGCTTTAAGAGCTGGTGGGCGTCATCAAACTCCACGCATGCGAACTGTCCATTCCAAGGAGACTATTCTGGCTTTCTACAATGAAGAAAGCTTGCATGATGAAATAGTGTTCAGATCAACCTCTGGGATCAGTGAAAGAATCAATATTGATCACTTTCCACTCCCACTTTTGGAATTTCAGATGCTGGTCTTTTCCAATGTTCAAGGTAATCATAATTACTGCATATTGAAGGATGAAAAGGCTGCCTCACACCTAGGCATATCACTCTGTTTTTCAGCACCCATCCCTTTGGTATCTGATGCTTTTTTGTCACCCGTAGTTTAGCCACACATAAGCATGTGAAAATAAAAATGATAAAATGGAAGGATGTTTTGGAAGTCACCATGACGCCATTATCAAATTTGAAATGATTAACATAAACTGTCAAAAGTAGTTCCCCGAGGGCTAACGTAACAAAATACCCATACCAATGGAACCCTCTGGAAGGTCACTTAGAATGCAAAGGGGGAGTGGGGTTTCATAAGAATGATACATAACTGGAATTTCCACTGGTGGAGTTGTGGTCCATCAAGCCAGAGCTTATCCCAGTTTCTGTAGGATGAAGCGACTAGGAATATTTCTTCTTCCCCCTGGATGGGATGCTAGTCCATCGCAGGGTTACCCCCAGCATTAAATTTGCCGGTACCCATTTGTATACCTGGATGGAGAAAGTCACTGTCAGAGTAAAGTGTCTTGCCCAAGAGCACAACATAGTGTCCCTGGCTAGGGTTCGAACCCAGACTGCTTTATCCGGAGACGAGTGCACAAACCATGAGGCCACTGCGCCTCCCATGGTGATTATAGGACTAAACTAAAGGCTGTGATTTGTGGAGGAAACTAAAGGCTTATTTTAAAGAGATTGACAGAGCTGCTACATGTACTGCATAACTAAGAACACAATGCAGTATCCCTGGCCAGGGCTCAAACCCAGACCACTCGGTCTGGAATTGAGTGCACTAACTACAGTATGAGTCCTCCATGCCTCCACACTGGTGGAGGATTCAAAGCCAAAGACCTTATGGAGGTAGAACAACGTAACTGTTTTGAAGAGTTGGCAGCTTTTAAAGTTAATTTTTTTCCCACCCAAAATTACATGTAAGTAAAATCAGAGTTGGTTTTATTTCAAGCAAAAGTACAAAGCATAAAATCATTAACAGCATGTATAATTATGTAAGCACACATGCAAGCACAGGTCGATCTACAAGACAGTATTATCATGAATCTTGGTAGTCACAGTTTCATCTCTATTTTAATTTATAGGACACCTTCCCAGCTGTGCTCAGCCAAAGCACATTCAGATCCTTTGCGATGACCAAGAAATCGACGCAACATCATATGTTGACCTCCAGGAATTTGTCAGACAAGGATATGATGTCAGATGTCAGTTGAGGCCTAGTTCTGGTATTGCCAATGGTCCTGTCGTTATTGAGATCCAGAATTACAAGAATGATGTCATAACTCTTTTGACATCACTTCAGTTGACAAGAAACCAGCAGGTTTGTTACCCTTTGGTAATATAGATAAGTGTCAAAATTCTTTTGAGGGATCTGATTAAGTGGAGACAATGACAGTATCCAAACAATAATAATTCATAACAATAATATATTGTTACTGAGCATGTGGTTAAAATTCAGTTAAACTCATCACAAATAGATGAGCTTGGGAACTGGTGCCTAAAAGGCTAGCGGGGAGCAGAAGCCATAAGCCGAAGGGGAGGTATCCATGGCAACCCTGGGAGCAGGAAACACCCCCAGAAGCAGCCGCTAACTGGCACGGTCACACTGAATGAATCAGTGGAAACAACTTACCTGACCCATACTTACCAAGAGGCCGGCAACCAAGAGGGAGGGAGGGAAAGGGGTGAGAATCAGCAAAGATTCGCTAAAACACAGAGCAAATGATCCGCAACGATCAGCTAGCAGCACTGCACGTGTAATGCAATGAGACACAATAGCCCTGCAAGTCTCCAGAGGGCCACCCCGCAGGTCACGTACTGTGAAGGGAGAAACCGCTGACTGCATTGGTTTGAGTCTAACTTTGCCTAAATCATATTTAGCCACATGAAAAAAAGATAAGTGGCTACGTACTTGGGCTAGAATAGATGTTCCTACAGATAACATTACCTGCTGACTTTTCATGGCTTCTATTCACAGGACCCGGATACCTTTGAGATAGACACCAGCAAAAGAACATACAATGCTGAAGATGTCAGAGAATGTTTTGAAGAAGAAGCAACCCTCAGTGACCTGAGGGGCACTTCTGTTGCTAGTTCAATTATTGTAATCCTGACAGAAGCATCAATGTACCAGGGTCATTTAGCAATTTGTGTCTTGGATGACAGCTTGGATTGCACTTTCACTAAGACCTTAAATTAATGGTTAAGAACGAGACCCCACTAGATGCAAAACTTTGTACTAACTTTGTACATTGAACTTTTCTTCAAAACTTGAAACTGAACACCGTCACAGAAGACTCAGAAGTTGAAATATTCATCAAATCATTTAGGGCTTTACCTAGTAAGAGTAAATGGGTTTAACTAGACTGTTGCTGCAAAAAATTTGTCATGTAAAAGGAAACATTTCATAACTTCTGCACTTGTGTGTTTTCAAGTGTGGTTAAACTGGAAACCTAATTGCTTTCTGAGGTTACAAGTTCCTCAGAGGATATAGGTACAAATAATAATTTTTTTATCATTTTAATTATTGTCCAACTGCACCTAGCTGGGTTCAAATGATGAACAAAATGATTACAAATATCCCATGATACTTGTACTCCAGGAAACCAGTTTAACAGATAAGCTAAATAATAATAATAATAATAATAATAATAATAATAATAATAATAATAATAATAATAATAATAATAATAATAATAATAATAATGGCATTTCTGGCAGTATATCCACAGGGTGGCTCTTCGCCTGCCCGATGCTAACTAAATTTACAATTGTAAAAAGATTAAAAGATATCTAAGAATTTATATCTATATGTNTTTCGTGTTGAAATACATTAAGTTTCAGATAACTTGGCCAATATGGGTTGTGAAGGGCTTTGTGAGTTGCCTTAAGTAGGTTCCATTCGCATTGTTCCTTTACGGGAAATAGTCCCCTTAGTTCCCTTGAGAGTGTGCGCTGTGGAAAATACCGTTGTATAAGAATGCAATGTAAGTTTTGTTTATGGGAAAAGAAAAACGTTGAATAATAAATCTCTTTTTAGACATTTTTAATGTGTAGTATCTCTGTACATTTTTACAAGTCCTTTGTATTTTGACTCACCCTACTGGCTCCCAAAAATACTTTAAGACTCGTAACGTACAGTAATAAGTACTACAAACTAGAATCGATTTGTAAGATATATGATACATGTGAGCTTCTGGTAAAAAATGGTAAAAATGTTGATTTCATAAAAAGTATCACTACAATAAAGAATTGTGATAAATATGATTATAAAAATAAGTTATTATTAGAAATCATTTAGTTATACTCGAGTAATAAATGAAGTGCTTTGTTCAGACTGCTTGCTCAGTTTTGATCAAGCATTTCAATGTGTCATTGTTAACCAGAAGTAGAAGAAATGTATTAATTATGCAGCTTCATGTTATGCAGGCCATAGTTTGACTGGTTGTACGAGTATGATAACCAACCAATATTAACATTATTCAACAGATGTTGTTTCTTAAATGACACTTGAAAACAGGAATACTGACTGCTGGAACTATAATCCTGCTGAATAGTCATGACACGTTTTTGGGTTAGTACCATTAACAAACCACCTCGCGAAGCCAACCTTTGTGATCAGACCAGTGTCATGTGATGTACCTGGATTACTTTTAGCATGTCATAGCTAGCTACCTACAGAATATGTGCACAAAGTTATATCCTGAGGCAAATTTTGACTTGTACACTGTCTAACATGTAAAAAGTTGCTGGTTACTTGTAATTGCTTCAATTTTTCTGCTGTTTAACAAATAGATTCTATGTTGCCATGGGTTTCATTTTGTTCCGTAATTGATCACAGATAATGTCAAAATGTGGTAAGAACAAAACAGTGCATGACCTATGAGCGTATGGCTGATTGTGTCACTGATGTTCTTATTTCTTTATTTTTGGCTTAGTATGGCTTGTGTAGCCACAAAACTATATCAATGACAAATGAATGTCATCAGTGACTAATCAATGCACTCAATAGCTAATGGACACCATCAAAGAGTGACTGAAAACTTTGTGCCCTATTGATTATTCATTGATCACTCATTGATATAGGCAATAATCAATGACTAATCACCTGATTGTCCATCCATTACTCTTTGATGTTATTGGTGTCATTGATTAGTTTCGTCTGAAGGTATCTAAGGCTTTCATCTGAGTGTGTATTTTTTTCATAAGCCATAACTCTTATGTTACCCCAGAAGCATTATTCTTTGAAAAGATGACATTTTATTGTCTCATTTAGTTACTGACAAAAAGAAACCTAGAAACATGTAGACTACTGTAATTGTATCTACTGGCATTTTGTTTGCCACAGTGCATTCCAGTCCTTGTGGACTTTATGAAAATAACTGATAAAGACAGGCATGTAACTCATTGCTTAGTCTTGATTACAATGCAATGGTTTTTTATCATAGTTAGTGGGAAAATCTGTATGAAGCTCGCCTTTTAGATGTAACTTTTACTTTTAGTTTAAATAAAACTAAATTAAATGCTTTGTTAGGATCAGATCTAGTAGTCTTTTGGTGTTAAAAATCCTTGCTTTTCCTGCTCCCAGAGCCATTTGTGGTAGAAGTTAAGTTTATGGTCATTGGGTGTTACATTCTTCCAGTCACCAAGACAAAAAATGCGATAGGAGTCATCTCCATACTTTCCAATGCCATATAGCTCTTTTGGGTAAGTCCAGTCTTTTGTTAGGAACTCCTCTGAGAATTTGATGATGATCTTGGCTCTTTTCTCATGAAGACCAAGAGGTTGGAGAAGCTCTGAGAAACAAAAGGAAATGTCAATTAGAACAATGGCCATACTGGGGGAATATCAGCGCTAGGTCTTAACACTGTGAACTGAGCCAGTGCAGCAAAGTTTGTATAATGAAGACCCCGAAAATCAATTTTCAGTTCTGGCCAGTTAGATTGGGGAGTGTTTAACAGAAAGGGTAGTGTGCACATGGGGATTTGTAGAGCCCTCTGCAGTTTTGGCACACAATAGATTGAATCACAGCAGCTGACCTGTTAGAGGAAGTGTTGTTAGACAGATGGTCAAGTAACCAATTGTTGTTGAAAAATTTAACATGAGTCCTACATCCAATACCATCATGCTGAACTGACACATCTGTTTTGATGGACTAGTCTAGTAACACCAAGCAGATTAAGTAACATTATTTTTCACCTGACCCTGAAACTAATAATTATGTTCAGGTTGTCAAATATCAGTCACCATGGACATGTACTTTCAGTCAGATTCGTAGTTGGAGTTGTAAGAGTGGTTATTACCTAAAAAACCAGAGTTGTTAAGTTGATTGAGTTGATTCTGTTTACGACTCGGTCACTTATCATCCAGTGAAAACTAGATTGCCAGAGCCACACACAGAAGCAGAAGAACCAGCCAATCACAAGGCCTGGAATCAAACATTGTGATTGGTTTATTCTTCTGCTTCTGCTTATGACTCCACGACATCAGAAAAAAAAAATGCTTGCTGCTTGATCAGTGACAAAGTCATAAGCAAAATCAGTATTCTGCGTCCGACTCTGTTCAGTGTCTGTTGGTTTGATTCTCACTAGATCATATCACTCTGCACCTCTGATTATGACTCTGACTTGACTCCGTTGTCAGTGAAAACCAGCATTTAAGGATAACCTGAAATGTCTTCTCCATTTCCAAAATATGAGTCGGTGGTAAAGAATTGTACGCGGTTAAACAATGTCGCCTCCTGACTACAGCTACCCCACTGGCATACCTCTTGTCAGCTCATGTTTTAACTTACTCCTAATCATTTCTTGACTATGGGAATGAAATGTATTGCCCTAGAATAATAGCCAGGGATCAACACTGGGTTTCCAAGTTCAGAGGCCTGCACGCTAACCATGCATACTAAGTCAGCCTCGACATTGCATATCAGGAGAGAAGCCCAAACCTACCCGCAATTTGTTTCCAGTCGGCCATTCTTGTAATTTCAGGATTTGGATATCTCTTAAAAAAATCCCACATGACTGGGATAGCTTTGCCTCCCGAGGTTCTGTTTAGAAATATTGTAGCAATCAGTAGTTTCCACGGATCGTGAAAAAGGCTTTCTTGAATCAAATTAAACCGGGACTTGGGAGGGATCCAGCTGGGCGCCAATTGGGACTTGTGCGGGGGAACACTTGGTTTAAAGTAATTACTGGAAACAGCAGTAGAAACACTTTCATGAACTCTCAATAGCTTCACATCATTTTCACCTGAGCCAATGTCAAGCGTCTCTATTGGCGTTGACGTTTTAGATTTTCTAGATTTTCGTTTGGTGGAGAGTTTAGGATGTTTAGTAGTGACTTGTGTTTGTTTTCCCGCCATTTTTATTTTGATGGGTTTTCCCCTTGTGATTTCTTTCCCGGTTTCTTTCCGCCATCTAGATCTTTTACTTCCGGGTTTGTAAGCGTCCCTAGAAAGATCTGTAGAGAGAGATTCACTTCGACGTCGTTTCAATCTTTTCGTTTTTGCAAAATAAGGAGATGTCCGATCTTGCGATTTCGACGTCAGTTTAGTAAATTTGTCTTTGTTCTCGACTTCTTGATGTGATTCTTCCTCTTTACTGATTTCTCCAGATTCACGCGATTCGATAGAAGTATGCACGGAACTTTCATGTGGATCAGCGAAAGAACTTGAGACTTCAAAGTTAAAATTTTCAATCGACAGAGAGCCAGTGCCCTGGTTTGAACATGATGAAAGGTATCTCTGAAGTTCAACGCGTGAACGAAATTTTCTGCCCTCTGGACTGATTACGCAAACATCAAATCTTCCTTTCGTTTTTCCACTCTTCCGTTGAGTAACTACTTTCTTCCATCCTGGTACCCCCACCGTACAAGCCATTTCTTTGCTCTTTCTCCGGGCAGCTAACGCAGCAACAACAACAAATCCGCCATTTCTATTTCCGATGTGGACCTGGGTACAAGTTTCGTTCCCAGGGTAACCCTGCCTCTGTTCTGCGGTTTCTTTAGTCAGCGGTGGTCACCAATCAAATTAAAAATGGCGGCAATATGTGATGGCTATGTGGATATTGACGTGGATAATATATTGAGTTTTCTGTTTTGTGTCATGAAAAAGTTTTAGTTTCTTTTCATTAGGGAAGTGAAAATGAGCGAATTCAGGATACATCATCACGTCTCGGAGCTTTTGGGCTTGTTGGGGTGAGTTACGCGACTTTGTTAGGTAAAAACCCTCTTTGGGCAACCGAATCTTTAGCTTAAGCTTATATATGCAGCGTTATGGTTTCAAATTCAAACCAGGGAAGCTCTCAAGAAGTAAACAACCATGACGAACCATAATTCGGTGATACCTTGAGTGTTCAAAGGCAAGATATTATCTTGTGACTTCCTAACTTAAGAAGTTACAGGTTTCTTAGTGGAAATTCATTTCCTGCCAAATTTGTAATTTTTCAATTTGTACAGTTTATGCACCTATCATGATCAATGTTAAGCCCGAGTTAAGGGGGGGGGAGTGCAGGATTTTGACATTTTCTAAAAAGAAAAAATCCCTATTCTAGGGACAACATAGTTGGTAAAAAGTATCAAAATTCTCCACTCTGGTGCAAAGAAAACTCATGAATATAATGTAAACAACCAGAGAACTGAGAAATTTATTGTACACTAAATTTTATTTTTCTTCTGGCCTGACTTAAATCACTGACTGCTGAAATTCAGATTCACATTAACTGGGCATCAAAGCGACTTAAAAAGCATAGCAAAGTCACCACATAATACTGCCAAAGCCTACTCCTTGCCCTTTTTCTGCACACAAGTTAACAATATTAAGACAGCTGAACAAATTTTAGAGCTTGTTAGATCCAGCAGTTTATCTATCATACAGCTGTTACCCTCAAAAGGAGGACATAAGCACTTTGTTACACATAAGGACATTGTTCTGTCTCAGAGTAAAAGCAGATCCTGCTGCCTTTAACTCCAATAATACTTTGCTGACACTAGCACAATTCAAAAAATCTTGTTTATTGTCATCTTTCTTCTTCTCCTTGTTGCAAGCCATGCTTGAATACTATTCTTGTGAATGTGCTATACTCGTCAAGCGGCATTACCATGCTGCACCAATCAGAAGCCTTCTTTTTGAGCAAGGAGGTTTTTCAAAATCTTGGGGTTTGCTGCCAAGCATCACTTTGCTCGTCCTAGTTCTAGTGTAGCCAAAATATGGAAAAGTCTTATTCCCACAGGCTATTGTTGTTGCAAGGAAGGAATCAGGGTCTATGCAATATACAAAGTAATAAATTTTGCCTCACACAGTGCTAGTTCTGGGGATGGTCCTGAAGTTTATGCTGAGATGTTAACCAAGAACTTAACACCTTATGTGACAACCCAGGTATGCTGTCAAGATATTAGTGGATGATGACATTTGTCTAGCTTATGAGACTGGAGGTGTTGTGTTCTAATGAAGGGCTAATGCTCAACATCAGCTATCAAGCTGTCTCTTAATGGGTATCTTTTGCTCTCAGGTTTCAACCCATGCAGCCAAAAAGAAGATTGCTGAAACTAGTACTATGCCAAGGGACTTTTTGAAAAAATATGATGAACTGAAGTCTAAAAAGTGAGTACAATCATTGATTTGCACTTTTTCAGAACTTGGTATTAGTTAGTTATAAAGGTGGCTGTTTTTTACAACTTACAGCCATGTTTGCTACTTGTGACAGTTTATTATCATGTTATTATCAAACTGGTTTTAAAAAATAATGTGGATCAAAAATAAATTTACAGCACAGAACATGTGCGTACATGTATGCATAAAAAACAGAGCTGCACCACTTGTGATGTGCCAACAAACTGACAGACGTGGATGAAGACATGAAAAGAGAAACTTTCAGCATAATCTTGAGACAAGCTTCACAGTACATTGCCCAGGTTCATTACACTTCTCCTATATTAACAACAACATTTTTGTTTTCAGTGTTAGAGAACTTGATCCGTTGGTTTATATGCTATCACGACTGGCTGAGGATAAACAGGTTGGACATTATGAAACAATTTCTTGATATAGTCACCATTTGAAAACCATAGTAGTATGTCCTCATTTTCCCAAAATTACTCTCTTCCAGATGTTGACTTTCCTTGAAAAGAACTCCAAGGAACGTTCCAAGGCACGTCTGGGAGCTGTTTCTGCTGGAGCCAAGTCAAATGCTATGGCAGCAGCTGAGGCCATACTAGATGGTGTGCCTGCATCAGGCACCATGTCCCAAACTGAGGTTAATGAGGTAAGTTTCAAGGTGCTTTCTATTACACCATTATGGTATGATATAACATTAAGAGGAAATACACTGTAGCTGAGTAACATACAGTTTGTTCATATTACCTCGAAAGATTTTGTGTTTTAGAAGTGGTAAATAAGAGAAGATCAGAGTTATCATGAAACGTGCACATGTATACTCATAGTAACTGTTGTTCTTTGTCATGGTTAGGCAAAAATAATGACAGCTTTACTTATGGTTTGTCACAGGATTTGGTCACATATTGATCACAATTTGTGTCCGTGTGTAAGCTGGGTCTGGACTGTATATAATTTTTTGTTCACCTTAGCTTCGTACCAAACTTGCCTCTGTAACAAGTAGTGCCAGTCAATCAGGTTCTTCACCTGAAGCTGTACTGAAGGCTTTAAGAGAGAAACAAGCCAGGAGAACTGGTATGTCAGATGAACGTTATGTGCTATATTGGTAAATGTGAGAGTAGCGTGATGTGATGCTGATTTAGTAATTACAATGTCAGTAGTAATTAAAATTAAATAATGATTTTATTTCTATTTCCTAGGGAATTTACCACCGACACCATCCTGGGTCAGTGAGCGGCCTTACTTAAGCAGAGATTATGTTTCTGGGCCAGGCATCAGTCATTCCACGACAGTGAGTATGCAGCACATTGTTGTTTGTTTTTCTGTTATTATCCTAAAGAATGCTGTTCACATAGATGTTGTTGGTCAATTTGGTCTGTAGCTCAGAATGATTTCAACTTAGGTTAATTTGTGTCAAATGGGAAGGGTGCGTCTGGGACCAGTAACTTATTAGACAAACAAATATGAGCAAATTTGCAATGATTGATCCATGACTAGTGGTGATGAAGAAGGACTACAAAGTCGGAGATTAGGTGTTGGTGTTCAAATCTACTTGTAGGTGAGTACAAAATCCAGAAAAAAATTGGGGGGGGGGGGGAGGGATTAGGGCTAGGGTTACGGGGATTGATTTGGGATCCTGGGAGGGTGGGTTAGGATTAGGAACTGAGGTTGGGTGGTGTGTATGTTGTTCTTTTTAAGAACCATCAAAAAAGTGAAAAAAAGTTAACTCATTTGAAAAATTTCACTTCAGTTGAAACTAACTACATGTCCTGTCCTGATATTTGTGTTTATGGTTCTTTCACAGCCTGTATCGATTGGAACATTGCCTCTACCAATGCAGGAGCTAGCTATAGTTGAAGATCTCTTATTTCTTATGATGGTGAGAGTTGTTGGTAGTGTTCATCACACGTAAGGAGTTTTTTTTTCCTTAAGTAATCAATCTAGGGACTCACCAAAGAGCACTGGATGATAGCTGTATCCAGCCTATATAATGCCTCATCACAAACTTGCAGCCATGTAGTTTAATTATCATCTAATGATTTTTGGCACTCTAACTGGATTGCTTGTTAGAAAGGACCACCCTTTTGTAAAGAGGTTTTTAATGTAGAAAATTTGGGTGGTATGGTTTGTGTTTGGCAATTTACATGTAATATGATTTAATATATTAATAATAATAATAATAATAATAATATCATAAATGTCCTCATATTGCTATTTGTTAAAGGGTGTAGAGGGAAAATATCTGCTTGTCAAACCTCTCAAGGACAAGTTTAGTGCAAGGAGTTTCACCATTGACAAGACACTAGGTAATGTGGTTCTTGCTTAGACCGTGTGCCAAGGCTCAATTTATTTAACAAAAAAAAATACTTCAGCATTTGGTGGTGGCCAGTTTCTTTCAGTATTAGTGACCCAGAATAAAAAAGAGATCTTCAATTTTCTTTAGAGTGTAATGTTAAAACTATTGAATCACAAAAAGTACTCTGAGTGAGGCTGGAGTCTTCAAATTTGTGGATGGATCTTATACTCACCTCGTCAAACTATTCAAATCTGCTCAGAATTTTCCACTTCCAAGCAAATAACTCTCTGAAGTCCACAATGAAATGAAGTTGGAGAAGTGAAATGTAGTCCATTGAATTAAACTACTTGTTTACTCCACAGTACATTGTACATGTAACTCTGTTCTAGTCATGTATCAAGTAATCAAACCATTTTGCAGCGGCCATCCTGGTTTATTTTAAATTGCCACTGGTGTTAGATGACCTGGTAACTGTCAATTTTTCAGCCCAGGCTGTGTACATATGGACAGTAACTTAACTAAATCATAATCCAAGGTTTACCAGACTCTCTTCTGTTTTTCATTCTGAAAAGAGAGCTCTTGTGTCTCATGTTTGGTCAGTGACAGTCATGCGATTGTGAAAGTGATACACAGTCATTTACACCATGTCATGGCAAATATACAGCCAATTGGAATACAGGAAAGCTGTTGTGTACTTGGCAGTATCAAACCCAATCTTCCCATCATGCACTGCATTGATTGTGTTAACCACATGGATGATCCAACTTGTCACTTGTATTTTCTTGGTATAATACGCACGAATAGCCCTTTTCACGGTTAACTTTGCTCAGTTGCATTACAATAAAATCTAGCATGTATGTGAGGCAATTTCGGGCTATTTTGTAGTTTTAGCTCAAAATTGTGTCGCATCCACGTTGGATTACATTGTAATGCAGATGAGAGAAATTAACCGTGGAAACTGCTATTGTGTTCATTTCGCCTGGAAGCCAGTTCACCAGATAACAGTTGGCCCAGACTGTAAGTAGGTTCTCCCGAACTGTTAGCTCTGTGGTCAATGGATTAAAGAACGAGAAATACTCAGGTTTTGTGTAATTTTATTTCATAATGCCCATAATGTTGTCTTTTTCTCCTTCTTCATACTTTCATTCCAGGCAAACAGACTTATAGCCCGGTTGAACTGACATTGGGCAAACTGGTTATCTGGTGAAATGACCGGTTATCCTACACACTTGCCTTATAGCTCTTGTGTATGTGGACAAAATAGATTGAAGTGACTAGTGAAATATTTCATGGTACACCAGTCGAAAGCATTGCAAAGCTATTGTGTAGTTTCAATCCTAGTCATGCCCATCTGTTCACCAACCAGCATACTATATCACTAGTACTCCTTATGAGCAAACTTTGAAATTTCTTTCTTTGCATTACTGATTGGAAACTGTATTCTTCAGAAATATCATTATTGGAACTGGTGCAAAGGATCCTACCAGTATGTTCTCACTATTCAACTATCTGTAGATTCATGGAAGGTACAGAATCATATGTTTTTATTAGAAATAATTTATTTATTAATAATAGATTGTTATAAAGGTAGCATGTAATACTTGTCAGAAAAAGGTCATGCATTTTTTTCACAGTTGTTTATTAATTTATACAATTTTTTCACTCAACATTTGCTTTAAGAGCAAAACTGTTTTTGGCTGAAATTTGTGTAATTGTCAGTTACAACTGACAGTTGGAGAAGTTTCTGTGGAAGCATGCCGTTCAAATTTAACAACTTTGACTTTTTGCTGAAATCATCTAGTCTAAATAGATTTTGTATGTTGATATAAATTGAGGTATATAGTCAAAACTGACTTAGGAAGTTAAGTACATGTAGTTAAAAAGGAAACGGTCTGTAAAATTACCTTTAATTTCATCATCATGCTGACGTAATCATTCTTGTTCTGTAAATCATAAGTCGTACATGTATAAGGCCTTTTTGGGGGGCTTTATTCTGCCCTTTCTGTGCCGGTGACTCTGACTTGTTATATCCTACCAGCCTTCTTCCTACATTGACTGTCTTTCTCCATGTCAAATATCACACTTCTCTCAGAGAATGTGTGAACTGTTTGTATTACAGAAATCCCTTTACGGAAGGTTATTATTCTATTATTGCTTAAATAAAGTTATCATAAAATCTTAATGCAATTTTACACTTTTTTCATCTTTTGCAGCTAAATCATCTTTTGAACATGGCCTTGTTAACCATGCCTTGTGTGCAGCCATGAGGACATTATTGAAGGTTATCTGCTCACTTTTCTTTTAATCTGAACGTTAGTGTGTACACTTAAACCAAGTATTCAGTAAAACTTGGTTTAAGGACGTTTGCGCGAAAATTTTCCAACACTGATTTTTTTTCTTAGACTTTTACCACTGTGAGATGATGAGTTAGTTATGTCAGCAATGTAAAAAAAAAAAAATGGGGGGTCACTGACTTTGTTTTGGAGACAACATGCCTGGAAGAACACCCCAAATCTGAAAAAATTGGGCTTCGTTAACGAGTAAGGTCACAGTGTCTGTAAGCCCAAAAATATTGCAATTAGAAGTTTGAAGTGAAATGTTCTCTGCTAAATATTGTTTAAGTGGACCTATTCAGTAAATCTAGTTAACTGTCATTTAGCGACCATAGTTTCACGTGCCTTGTAGCCGCAAAATGGCAGGACTCGATGTCCCTTGGACAGAAATCTTGAAATTTTTTTAACTTCCCACATTGATTTTTTGTTCAATTTGGACAATGTGGAGATAATTGTAAATAAAATCTGTTTCTGGAAAGAAAAATAGGGGTCACCGAATGTCCAAGATCATTAAATCCAGGCAAAGCTATACAATGGCCATCTGCCCTATCACTGTTCATTTTATTACTTAGCGCGCGCGCCCATGCATGACGTGGCATGTGAATTTGCGTGCACAGTAAGGATGCGCAGAAACAGCGTGAATGTCCTTAAAGTGTCTATACAGCCAACAGGGGTTTATGCTGTTTTGGTATCTTTATAATGTGTAAGAAGGTATTCTAAGAAAAAATATTGGATTCCGACATTTTAACACCCAAAGATCTAACTTTAAAGTTCCCACTTCATCCACGCCCAATGAAGTTGACCGTGAGTCAGTGCAAAAAAAGAGTCTGGGTTTCTGAATGGGTCGTGACATCAAGCCAGGAATTGCCAAATCCTGCTAGTTCAGGTCGCTATTGTTTCAGTAGTGGTTAGGAGTTTTTGTCGACAAAAAGCAAACAAACCGAAGTTGGTGAAACAATGCGGTTGTCAATCAAGCAAAATAAAAGCATGAAGCATTCATCACCAACCTTTCATTATGCAGTCAACTTCATTGGGCGTGGTCGAAGTGGGAAATTTAAAGCTTGATTTCAGGGCAAAAAAGCACCAGAATTAATTTTTTTTGGTTTGAATACATTTTTAGATGTTATAGAGATACCAAAACCACAAAAACCCTGTTGGACGTATAGAAACTTTAAGGATCCTATCAGATCTAAACTATCAGTCTTTATGGTTTTCATATTCTTGCTTATTACAACTTAGCATTCCGTCAAGTGCTCAATATATTTTTTTAATTTTGATTGTGATTATCATAGTAGATTTTATGTAACTGACAATCCTACTGAAAAGTCATTTTCCCTGGAAGAGATCTTAGAATGACAAGAAACATTATCAGTGGGTGTACTGTATAGTATGCAAGTGACTATATTAAGTTATCAAATAAATGATGCTGTTTCTTTTAAGGAATACCTCATTCTTGTAGCACAACTGGAACATCAGTTTAGATTAGTAAGTACAAATTTACCTATCAAAAAGAATGGAGCACTCAGATGTGTTTTGCCTAAGAAAAACACACCAGTGATATAATATTATATTTTATTATATGGAGAAGAGTGTTTTACTGGGAACTAAACCACTCGTAGATTCCATACGCCACTTCATCCGGGACCCGAGTGGTGTATTTTCCNTAATAAAAAGAACATTACACGTTGGCTCGAAGATATGAATTTTATGTTCGAGTGGCAAGAACAATATCTCACGAGTGAGCGAAGCTCACCTCGTGAGATATTGTTCTTGCCACTCGAACATAAAATTCATATCTTTGAGCCACTGTGTAATATCCTCTATATCTAAGTACCACACTATGTATATATAACCTTTATTTACCTGTACCCTCGGCAATGTTTATAGTACAAGTGCTAGTGGAGCCAAGCAAACAACTGAAACAAATAATTCAAATTGAACGTAACATTGTTAAGAATCCTAACTGGCTGGAGGCAAACCAGTTGGCTATTTACAAGCATGGTCGAGGATTCGAACTCGGGGCTACTGAGAAACAAATCCATGTAGTGGTCAGAGTGGGACTTGAACCTGGGGCCACTGGATTGCGAGTCCGACATGCTGACCACTCAGCCACGCTGCCTCCTTAGTAGAATTTACCATACCCAAATTTGCAATTAGCCAATAGGAAGCCACGTCTACTGTACTGAATAGATATCCTGTGATAATCAAGTCACTGACCTTATATGGCTACTATATCATGGTCACTTAGCTGAAATTGGGTACGGTAAATACTTTTTGATAGTAATTCTATCTTTGTTGGCATGGCTGGGCAGCATATCAGACCTGTTTGGTCTCCCCATGGATATTTTGGCTTCACTACTTGTATGTCTTATGAAAATACAGTATGAACCATGGCTTAACCAAACTTGCCTGATAAGCTGCCTAAGCAAACCAAAAAGTTATGATAAGGTATAAATATTACTTTTGAATAAAATTAGTATATGGCAGTGAGATGGTACATGTTGCATGGCAATGTGATTTGGGTATTGAACTTGAAATCCAGAGTTTTTCAGTCAGGAATCACCAATGATCGGCCAGTTTGAGTTTAAGTGTGCACCGTATCACCCTTTTTGCAATTTAATTGTTTCAGGGACAGCTGTCACTACAAAAGTTGTGGTTTTACATCCAGCCATGTATGAGAACAATGGAGATATTGTCATCCATAGCAGTGGCAATTGATAAGGTAATTAACCTAAGTGGAGTGCTAAATGGCATGTACATTGTTTATTATTGTGGGAGGTACAGTGTATAGTAGCCTAGTGATTAGTGCCTCTGGATCAGGCAGTGTGGGTTTGAACTCTTACCCGAGGGTTGTTGTGTTGTGTTCTTTGCCAAGACTCTTTACTCCCACAGTGCTTCTCTCTGCCAGGCATTTAAATTTAATGTGTGTGTGTGAGGGGTGGAGGGGGAGGGGGCTTGTAAAAGTTTGGATGGTTAAAACTTGGGAGGGGGTGCAAATACTTCTAGTTGCCCTCTAGTTGCTATGGANGGGGGGGGGGGTGCAAATGCTTCTAGCTGCCCTCTAGTGGCTATGAAAATCAGAGAGAAACCTTTACCTGGTGGGCCAGTAAGTGTAAACACAGACTGGGGTTTGTTTCATCCTGTGTCAATTTGTGTTAGCTTTTATCCTGTAATTTTAACCTTACCAGATCACTTTCTTTTTTAGGGAAGCTGTAAAGGAGGTGCTGTACTGACATTGTTACATGAAAAGACTGTGGGATACACAGGGTAGGAATTAATTTATTCAAGATCCTTAGTTACCAGTCTTCATACTCGTATAACGATCATAGCATTAATTTTTCTGCTGTTCTACTCTCAAAGTGCCAAATAACTGACATGCCTTGATCTTTGATCAAAGTTCTGAAATATAGAAACTCCTTTATAAAATTGATACAGGATAAAAGGAAGCTTGCTTGTGAGAACCAGAGCTATTTCCATTATTGTTATGTGACATTAATGATGCTGTGTTGAATTGATATCAGTCTTTGAATACTTCACACAGGGACAATAAATCACAAGACCTTTGTTTGTTCCTCACACAGGCTGTAAGTATGACAAGCTACATGTTGTCTGTTGCGGTTATATCATTCAGTAATGTTAATACATGTATAATTTCAGGTCTTACAAAAGTGAGATGGGATAGGAAGTGTGTATGGACATATTCATACTGTGTAGTTGTGCAACACGTTTGAGTGGTATACTATGGAATATCCCATGAGTCACTTGTACATTTTCTGGGCAACAAGCCTTTTTTATACCATGCCATAGCGTCCAGTTCTTAGTCCTTAGGAAGCCGTGAAGAGAAACATGTGTACATATGCACAAATAATTTTTACCTCTTACTACCTATCCGTCATTATCCTGTTGCAGGCTTGTGTTCCGTATTTTGATATTCTTNACTGTTTTCCTAACAAATTGATGTGATCTTAAAATGCAGGTCAAAACGTGCAGTGCCCAAATGCTGATGAGATCATCTACACTCTTCATGAGAGAGAATATGTGGAAAAAATTGAAAAAGCTTACAGTTATGCTAGCAAGACCTTGTTGGATCTGCTCATGGATGAACGGGCATTAATGGCTAGACTAAGGTATGGTATTAGGTTTATTTTCTGAATTCTCAAAGCTGCAATACTCTATTGTCTTTGTGGATATATGAATTTATTAATAATTAACTACTGCATTGCTAAATGGAGGTTGGGTGCCTGGGACATCCCGGAGCTTCCACCATTGGCAGCCAGCTCCTAGATGAAGACTGCTCCTATGGCTGGCAAATCCTGGCAACTGAGCCATGAGCCCCCACATGGAAGAGGAGACAGGCACCCATCACAGCAAATTAACAGTGGGAAAAGGGAGGGAAGGGAGGGGGAACGCTTGAAGATGTGCTCCCATACAAAACAAAGCTCACTGTAAAATGCTATTGCTGTGAAGGCTGCTGACACATCTTAGTCAACGATCACATGGAATCCTGATGCATGCACATGTCAAAACACTACTGACAACTATGGGAACACAGGTGCTCTTTGTTGTTAAATTGCATTGAACTGCATCATATACTGTATGTTTGATGAATATTTTCACTCCAGGTCCATCAAGCATTACTTTCTCATGGATCTTGGAGATTTCTTTGTTCAGTTCATGGATCTGGCTGAAGATGAGATGAAGAAAAACATGGATGGTATCCTTTCCCTAAATTATAGCACTTTGATGTGAAATCACTCTTGTTCATTTTGCTTGAAATATTGCTGTTCTTGAATAAGTTATTTTAGTCTCAAATTCTAACTGAAGAAATCAGAAACGGCAGTTGACATGTTGGACTGACATTGCTAAATTTGTGAGTGATATCTTAGTTGTTAGGGTCAGCTTCACTGGCCTACTTTACCAAAAAAAGTCAGTAGAATAGAAATAATTCCACTAGATGAGAGAATGTTTAGTGTTTGAGCTTGGTAGCAGGTACAAAATTTTTACAATGTATTGTTGTAAATGTTGCTTGTTGGATTATCTTACTTAGTTTGCAGCTTATGATTTAAGTAAATGTTACTAATTTTTACAATTAGAGCATGCTGCCTTATTACAATCTTACTATTGTCACTTTCTTACTACCATTGGGCAATGTTGGGCAAAATTATGTGACAAAATTCTCCATTGGCGATAGCCTCCTACGCAGATGCTCTTTGGGCTTGTCACGCAATCTTTGTCCCCCATGAGCCCAGCTATGTTAGCGGCAGCTTGCAGAGAAGGTTAACATCCCAGCTTTTAAACATCATTTTGTTCCTTGATTCAGTGTTTGTCCAGATATAATGCCTTCGAGACTAGAAACGTTGTTAGAGCTTGCTTTACGAACAAGCACAGCCAACAGTGACCCATATAAGGATGACTTGAGGTAAAGATCTTATGGCTTAGTCACTAGATCCAAAGTACATCTCTAACTACTGTTGCCCATGTTAGTTACTTCCAAGGTTGCTTTGCCAGATTTCCCCCCAAACCTTTTTTTTTTCCGTGGTTGACTCAACTCAATGGACCGATGGCTTTTTCCTGTCCGGTAGCTTGGTAGGATGTAAACGAAGATTTGTTTGGCTTAAATACCTCACTGTAATTGTTTTCTTCGCAGAGTTGATTTGCTTCCATATGATCTCATCACTCAACTGTTTCGCATCTTGTCTGTGGCATATGACAGTAGAGGTAATTTGTTGGTGGTACTTTGTTAATTTGAAGTACCGTTAGCAGTTGGAGTCTCCCATGGAAACCAAACCAACCATAAAGGACTGTAAACTGAGCCACGTGATTAGTTTTACAAGGTTTTTAGGTCCACTTGTTGTTCACAACAAAGTTACAGAATATTTGGCGTTTGGGAATTTGACTTTGACCCTGGTTTAGAGTTCCGTGGCAAATCGCAATCGTCTGGTGTAACCATACTGCTCAAAAGGCGGATAACTTGTTAACTTGGATTGCTTTTAAATTGCAAGTTAGTAGTGTATAAACTAATCTGTAATGCTGTAAACATTCCTTGCTTGTATGAATAACATGATCTGCTTGAAGAATATCAACTTAAAGTAATTGTACTTGTGGCTGATGGGTTAACACCAGCCCTTCCCTATATATAGTCAGTACTTTCGTGTGTTAACTACTACAGAGTACAATGCCCACTGACTGTATCCTGACATTTCAAACAAATGTGCAAACGACTTATGACTAGTTGTGTTTGCTACCATCTTCATCAAT